AATGGCATGTTGTCTGAAGCTTCATAATAAAAACATTAATTATTAATTATTATGGAATAATATATAAAATAATTATCATGCAAATAAAATGCATATAAGTAATAAATATTTTTTCCTTGTCATAATTCTGATTCCATAATTATAGGGTATCCCATATTTTAATCAACAATTTGAAATTTTTGTCAACTCTGTTGAAAATAAACAGACATTAGGAAATTTTTTTTTTTGTCAGAATGATCATTAAAAATATTTAAAATTCTCCAATAAGTTTAATCGATAATAATGACAATATCAATATTTTAAATCATTTGGACAGCAGAATATAAAAAGAAAATGTTATAGCACCCTTTCTGGAATTTTTTTTTTGTGTTAACCACAACATTTCAAACGCCTCAAAATTATTTCTGTTATTTTTAACTCATTTCAAAATTTTTATCAATTTTTTTTTTTTTTGTTTAGACAATTTGCATGAAGATGAAGCACTGTTCATCCAGAATTTGTACTAATGTATTGACTTCCAGTAGTATGAATAGTATGAGGCAATTGCCTCTATGTGCCACTCAAATATTATATATTACACGCTCTGCTTCGTCGAGCTGTAACGATGACAAGCTTTTGAATGCTTTTCGCACCTGCTTGTTCAAACGCTTGAAACAGCAGGAGGTACAGCCTGGAAACAAGGTCTCTATTATCGGTTCTGGTGCCGTGGGCATGGCGTGTGCAGTAGCTCTGCTTTCGAAGGGGATTACGAACGACATAGCTCTATACGATATCAATAAGGATTTGTGTACTGCCGAGAGCGCGGACTTGGTACACGGCTCATTATTTCTAAATAACTGTAATGTTGCGAAGTGCTGCGATATTGGATCGACACGGGACTCKAGAGTAGTTGTAGTGACGAGTGGAGTACGCCCGAAAGCCAAYGAGAAGCCTTCAGAGGTKGCCCAAAAAACGGCGGATATTATCAAGTGTGTAATGCCCAGCCTGGTTAAAGAAAGCCCCAAGGCTGTATTTATTATTGTTTCAAATCCATCCGATGTCATGGCCTGGGTGGCCCATAAAATATCCAAGTTACCCTACGAGCGATGCATTAGCACCGGCTGTCATTTAGACACTGCACGCTTTCGACTGTTTATTGCGCAGCTTTTGGGCGTGGCAACTAGTTCGGTGAATGCATTTGTCCTCGGGGAGAATGGGGAACGTTCGGTGCCAATGTGGTCCTCGGTTACGGTGGGGGGTGTGCGGCTAGAGCAACTGGTGCCAAAGATTGGCACAAGCGAAGATCCGATGCAGTGGTGCAAAGTACATAARGAYGTTGTCGAGGCGGCGGCCAAGGTGATTGCCCTAAAGGGCTACACGAACTGGGCCATTGGACATGCTGTTGCCGATGTTGTATCTGCMATATTCGAGAACAGCAACCGGATCTTGTCGTTGTCAACAAATGCCAAGGGAATGTGTGGAATCAAAGACGATATATTCTTATCGCTACCGTGCATTGTTAACAAATGGGGCCTCTTTGGGATTATTCGTCCACATCTATCGAAATGGGAGTCAAATGCGATGAAGAAATCGGCCGAGCAGGTATTGAAGGCTCAATGTGACATTAAACTTTAGGTAATTAAAAAAAAAAAAAATTAGGGGTTTTGAAATTGTATTCAGTAGCTTCCCCTGCTTTCAGTAAATAAATTTATCGTCAGGCCTAGTTATAAATGATATTTTTTATTTGGCACAAAATTGATT